CAGTTGGCATGGCAACATGCTACATAGCCGAGTCATTCTGCACAGTGCGGGACAGTCACCTTGGCAACCTCTGACCTAACACTTCCAGATCTTCACCGATGCTCTCCATCGATCCTATCACCATTCACTGTGTAGGTGGAATTTTTAGCTATGAAACATCGCAATCGACCTTCACCTTCTTCCCTTATTTGGTTCTGTTGTTTGGCTAACCCTCAAATGACCATATTTGTACATCCCACATTAAAACAGTTCCTCGGTTCCTCGCCTTCGTTGGTTTATTCACGGCCATATGCAGATTAAATTATTTAATAAAAATGTAGATATCAAATTTTTAAATACACGAGTAAGTGGTATTTGTCAACGAATTTTAAAAAAAAATTAATACTGATTCACTGCCGGTTATTCATTTCGAGGATCACGCGTACATAATGTACCATATGTTACGTTAGCAGACGGATCTCACAAAGATCAATGAGAAAAGAAAAGGATATGTTTTGCGTTATAAATATTTCCAATACCAAATATTCCGCGTTTAGCAGGATAGCTGTTCTTAAACTAAACTCCCAGGCAAAGAAAGTATAATCCGTGATTTATGGTGTCTGAAAGAGAAATAAACAAGAAATGGTTGTTTGATGATGATGTATCTGTTGAGGGAATCATTGTTGTGTTTTGGACCTTAAGTTTGAAGTGTTTCGGCGACTGGCTAGTAACGTTTTCATAACGTTCGTAATGTTTTGGTCATATTCAGTTTTCAAGGGTATACTTTCAGAGTGTCGATGAGGGTACAGATACACTGATGTAGTGATGCCATTTTGATTCACGTCCCCATAACAATAGCTATCTACAGTAGAACACGGATATAACGAACTACAAGGGACCAGAGAAATCAGTTCGTTATATCCGTTGTTTGTTATGCATGATTTTGCTCGGAAACGTCCGCCATCTTGGATAAGACAAAACACAATTGCAGTGTTACGCGTGAAATCTTCATGGCCTAATTGCACTGCAAGTTCGTCAGCTTTGGTCTTTCTTGGTTTTTATGCCAACATCAACAGCATTAATATTTCTCAATTTCATGTCTAAACTGATAGCTTTCCTATTATTATTTATGATAGCATATGCAAGTGAACTGACACTTGGACACATCTCGTAAAATGTATATGTTTAATGTTTGTATATATTTATCTATTAATATAATTAATATATTCACTCTTCCTAACAATCCAACACACGTGATTTATTTGTAGTATAGCTTTTTAAATTTATTATTTATTTATTTATTTATTTACTTATTTATTTATTGTCTGTCTGTCTGTGAAACTGTCCGGGTTAATCAGTGGGAAACATTCTTTGTATACACGAAAGCCTAGTCTATCTTTAATACCTGTTAAGTTTTCCAGTCTTTTCATGTTTAGTTTTTACAAGAATCCTAAAGTGTTGGATTATATTCAGTCATGGAGAGCTTATGTTTTGTCACTTGATTCACGGAATCGCTGACCTTAAAACAGTTGTTTTTTAGCCGCCAACATAAAAAAAACCCGTTTTGATGATAAAAATAATATCAGTACAGTGTGCATGGACTGACATGCTGAAAAAACATGCAGTCTCGAGTGCATTTTTGAATACTTGCAAACAGAAACAATACAGAAAGTTGCTGTTGCAACTGCATGAGAATATCAAAGTAAATCCGAGTAATAGTCGATCGGAAGGCGTTGTTTTCGGTTACTCGGGGTCCGGACAGCAAGGGAATCTGGACGGTATACAAACGTACCTGTAAACGAGAGTTTGTGTACTCAGGATTTACTCTCTACATGTCTGAAGGGTGATAACATTTTAGTGATGAAAGTGATGCTGTTAAAGTTTGTTTAATCCTGGCCGGTCCGAATGTTGTAAGGATCAGTGCCAAAACCTTCAAAGATATTTAAATTCTGCGCAAGAACCGTTTATATCAGATATAACGTATTTATATTTCTAGTTTATTCTGTATTTTATGTTAATGTATTCTCTAATTTTTAAAAATATGTTTGTTACATACGTTTAGTCTCTCATGACTCAATAAGGAGTGGCTTATTCAATATCGTATTATATAATGTTTTACAGTCAACTACGCTTATAACGAACACGCTTATAACGAACTTCCGGATATAACGAACTAATTCTTGGTTCCGTCCTTTTTGTGTTTATTTGTTGTACTTATGCATAAAACGAACTACGGTTATAACGAATTAAAAATAGTGGTCCTTTTGAGTTCGTTATAACTGTAGTTTAGTGTATATCTAAAGATGAGGTGTTTGTCTGTCTACAATGATACCCAAGTCATTCTGTGTTAACATTACTCTCGTGAAAATCCGCTCTTGACAATATAGAAGGAGTGAGTAAGTTGGGTTGAACGCCGCTTTTAACAGTATTCCAGTTATATCACGGCCTGTCAGCTTAAATTGTAGGTTGAAAGCCCGAAGTGATGCAGGTCTGAGACGTTTACCACTTCGGTGAAACCCTAGGGCACGGGTATGGTGCTGACAAACCTAGAAACATAATCAGGGCGAACCGGGATTTGAACCCACAATCATAGGTTTCTGTCGTGCCCAAGGGACGCGACTCTGCAAAGCGAATCGCGGCGCCGTAGACGACCGGGACACCCGTGCCCTTTTAATAGAAGGAATTGGCACACCTAAAACATCTTTGTCAATCATCGGCCCAGTGTGAGTTAAATGTTAAGAAAATAATACACGTGACAAGAACATTTATTACATTACAAGGGTGGAAATTTTGAACTTATTCACGAATTTTGGAATGCGGTCGCTTTAAAGGAAGAACGGAAATATCACGGTAGTCTGAAAGTCTCAATATTCTTAATATTTTCCTTGACATATTTATAATTCATTTAACCTCCGGTATCATCATTGTTGTCTGGTCATTTCATGGAGTGCGCTGGACCGGGTAGCCTTAAGCTTGTGGTTAAAGCGTTCGCTCGTCACGCCGAATGCCCGGGTTCTTTTCCCAACAACGGTACAATGTGTGAAGCCCGTTCCTGGTGTCCCCCGCCGTGATATTAATGGACTATGGCCAACATGGGGATAAAAAAACTCACTCACTCACTCACTCACTCTGTTTATGGATGTGTTTCCAGGTAAGATCAGGCATTTTTAAAATTTTGAAATTTATTATTTGAAAATTCGGCAATTCGAATTAGAAACAAATCCTTTCAGCGGGACTTGTTGGGGCTGTGAGTTTTATTTGGGTTGGTAGATGGATATGGAAATGTAATTTATCTGTGACCCGTGAAGATTCGGGGTACAATAGGTCTTCAGCAACCCATGCTTGTCGTTAAAGACGACTATTGTTGTCGTAAGAGGCGACTAACGGGATCGGGTGGTCAGGCTCGCTGACTTGGTTGATGCATGTAAAGTCAAACGGTACGCAACACACAGGCACGTCTCTCTCTCTCTTTCTTTCTCTCTCTCTCTGTATATATATATAAATATGTATAATATATATATGTGCCATAATCTTGAACGCGACGTTAAACACCAGCTCACATTCACTTTGATAACGCCATCTTTCCTGTATTTTGTCTTTTATTGACGAATTTAGATTTGAAATAAATTCAAATTTGTGTTAATCCTGTAATTTGAAATTTGAAAAAAGAACCGGATGCGGAAAGTATTTGGTATTTCCCACACCAAACCGCTATACCGCACACGTGATGTTATACTTGTCACACAGCTGATTCATAAATGATAGTCGGTTAACCGTGGTTGCCACAGCTACACAAAAACTGCAACCTGCTCGTCCACACCCAACGACGCAACAGATGACCCAATTCAACGGAAAACCTGGCTCCGCGCCAAGGGGAATCCCCTCGTGTCGAAACTGCTGGTAATACCAAGAGTCCGATCGAATGATTATGTCCGAATCTAGTTACATGTCTACATACCTCCATCTATGGTGTTGTAACGCTGATAAATATAAACATTATCTAAACTGGGTCAATTTCTGCAGATGCACAATAGCGTGAATTATCTGAATGTATTTATAAACACACCGCGGTAAAACCACCATGTCATGTCTAAAAATAGACTGGGAATACCAGCTTTACACATTTAACCGCAGATGACTCCAATTTAACTGCGCAGTTCCTTCCATTCTTACCCAACCTTCGTCTTGGGATAAACTGTTTCCTTCAACAAAATCAACTAGTTGTAATAAATTATTATAAAATATTCGTTACTAAAGGGACCTGTTTCAAATTATTTTTCATGGGTTGTCTACACACATAAAAACAGAACACCAGACTCCCATTAAAATAGGACTCCTTTCATAGAACAAAAAATATCCGTTTCCAGTCATTCAAGCATCATCGACTTTCGTTATTGTGAGCTCGGTTATCTCGAAGTTTTACTTGTCTCGAACCTTCCAATTTTGACATAAAGACTTGAGGAACATTTCAGGCTTACTGTGATGGCATCACACGTCGCCCTCAATTGGGGATTCGAACCCGGCTGGTCGGCTTGACGAGTCAGCCCTCCAACCACTATGATTCCCACAGCTCTCGATATACAGTTAAACCCCGTTGTGCCGAACTCGTGGGGAATTGGAAACAAAGTTCGATTTATCCGGGGTTCGAGACAACCAACAAAGTGAATTTCCGACAACCAACCGTCATGTTATGGGAGATTATTACATGTAGAGGACCCGTGAAGATCCGGGGTAGAATAGGTCTTCAGCAACACATGCTTGCCGTAAAAGGCGGATATGCATCGGGTAGTCAGGCTTGCTGACTTGGTTGATGAATGTCATCGTATCCCAATCGCGTAGAGCGATGCCCATGAAATCAATCACCGGATTGTCTGTTCCAGACTCAGATATTTACAGACCACCGTCATATAGCTGGATAATTACTGAGTGCGACGTTAAACAACAAACATAAATAAACAAACATGTAAAGGTTAACTCATATATCTATTCTATGAATAGTTCAAACAGAAATGAAATTCAAATATCATAAAATAATTTATTCACGATATAGTAATATTCAATATAAATAACCAACAGAGTTTTGTGACATATTCTGTACACGTAAAACACCGGGTGTTCGTCATCAGATGTAATGGGAGTGACTGAGTTGGGTTTATCGCCGCTTTTAACAGTTTTCCAGTTATATCGCGGCGTGTCAGCTTAATGTGGAAGGAAAGCCCGAAGTGATGCAGGTCTCAGACGTTTACCCCTACAGTGAAACCCACGAGCACGGGTATGGTGCTGACAAACCTAGAAACATAATCGGGGCGAATCGGGATTCGAACCCACAATCATAGGTTTCTGTCGTGTCCAAGGGACGCAACTCTGCACAGCGAATCGCAACGCTTTAAGCGACTGGGCCACCCTACCCCCAGATGTAATGGGAACATCATATCCCCATTTAAAAAGGACACTTGTGTGTCAGACACAAGGTGTCCAATGTCATTTTCAGCACTTGTTACCTAGCATACGGGGTTTACATATACCCGGTCGAAAAGTGTCCTGATGGGCAGTCACACTACCACACACTGTAGTCGTAGTCACAAGGTGTTCACATGGTCACAAGGTGTTCACATAGTCACAAAGTTTTCACATAATCACAAAGTACTCACACCCCCAAACCGCCGATTCAGTCCCCACACGGCCCGATAACCAGACCCCCACATGCTATGTCCTTGGTGTTATCATGGCCCGGCATCAATACCTTGACATGTTCACGTGTTCGGGGAGTCTTTTTAAACGATTGACATTTCAATATCCACCTTGACGTTATCACGTGTTTTCAAATTGTTCCGAGGCGAGGACATCACAAATGGCTTCTTGGAGGGACTTGGCGGGGGCCGCTCTCGCCGAGTCTGCGATGGAGTCATCTTCCCTTATGATTTCACAACTGCATCCAATTTCAGCTATTTCCTGGAGGTCTTGCGCCATGTTTGTCTTCAGCTGCGCAATTTCTCTCGCCAGCTGTTTATTCTCACGCTCCAAATTCTTCACCTCCTAAAACACAAATAAGGAATATGCATATTTCTAACTTATACAAAGAAAAAAACATAATTAAAATATTCTACAATACCGACTTCTGAGGTTTGTGACGTACTCAATAGCTACAAGCATCTACGTGAGTGAGTGAGTTGGGTTCAACGCCGTTTTAACAGTATTCCAGTTATATCGCGGCGTGTCAGCTTAATGTGGGAGGAAAGCCCGAAGTGATGCAGGTCTCAGACGTTTACCACTACGGTGAAACCCACGAGCACGGGTATGGTGCTGACAAACCAAGAAACAAAATCGGGGCGAACCGGGGTTCGACCCCACAATCATAGGTTCTGGCGTGCCCAAGGGACGCAACTCTGCACAGCGAATCGCGGCGCCTTAGACGACTGGGCTACCCGTGCCCCCTAATAGAAGGACTTGGCACACCTCAAACATCTTTGTCAATCATCGGCCCAGTGTGATTTAAATTATAAGAAAATAATTCACGTGACAAGAACATCCATTACATTACAAGGGTCGAAATTTTCAACGTATTCACGACCTTTGGAATGCGGTCGATTTAAAGGAATGACGGAAATATCACGGTAGTTTGAAGTTTATATATCTACGTGAAGGAGCCATACCTTCTGAAGATTCTGGAGATGTTCCTCTCGCTTTTTACGGCTCTTGACTGCGCTCTCTCGGTTCTTCATTTTTCGCGTGGTAGCTTTCGTCTTCTCTTCTGCACTGGGCTAGTGTGGTAAAAAATTTAATTGTGAATCACAGTGTGATTGGAAGTTCATAAATGACTATCTCCCCTCACAAAATAATAAAAAAATGGTTCAACATTATCGGATCAATAGCATATTCCTGGGGCCATTTTGAAAAATTATACTAACATCTGTCCATTGCACCCCCACACCACTACACGCACTAATATATGTCAACCAGCCACCACAACCACCTGCCGAAAGTCCTGAATGACAAAATCATTCTGTGATGGATTAAATGTAAAAAGTCTGTCTGTTATTTATTTATTCTATAAATCTCACCTCGCCTATAGGTCTGTCCTCAAAGGAAACCTTCAGCTCGCCTTTCCCTTCCTTCAGCCGCTTAAGCTGAATCTTGTTCTTTAGTTCCAACTTGAGGAGTGGTCTAACGGAATTCTCCTTGACCGCAGACATCGCTGCCCGTTTCGCCTCATCAGAAGCGTTAGTGAACCTCTCACCGAACCTCGTAGTAAAGATCTCTGTTGATGTTGATTCTTGGGAGTCTCCGTTCTGGACTTCCGGCTGGTTCTCTGGGTCCTGCAGTTCCTGCGGGTCGTCCTGCAGTTCCTGTGTTTCGTCCTGCCGGGTGTGATCAGGGGGAGGGGACGGCGGGCGTGGCGTCAACTCAGTGTACGTGAGGACATCACTTGCGTTCTGGGTTTCATCCACCGACTGGTAAGCAGCCACCTCCATTATCTCCTCGCCTCCCTGACCTTGACCACACATATCGTTCTCACAATCGTCTGATTGTATCGTCTGATAATACACCACCCGTTCGACACCTTGGGTGTCATCTGGCACTTCTTGGAAATCAACACCAACACCCTCGGCATAAGCAGGTTCGTACTGGATGTATTGAACAGATTGATATGTTATTGGGTCATTCTCTGGCGCCGCAATAACAGGTTCTTCGTCCAGTCTTATAACAGGTTCTTCTTCCATTCTTTGTATGGCGTCAATGTCTGCGACGACTGTGTTATCGAAACGGACATCTGTCCCATCTTGGCTGGCCTCTTCTGGTGACCGCCTGTAGCTTTCTATGTTCAGCATCTTGCACTCAATATCATTTGGGTAGGGGATGGGGTCATTTAGGAATCTGATAAATGAAGCCGTCTTTCCGTCCTTCCCGGTCACCAGCACTCTGGGCAAATCTTGAGGAGACGCTTGAGGGAAATGCTCTTTGCCAGTCTGCACTGATTCAAACACTGTAGTCGGTATGTTGTTTGGGTACGTTGGTTGAGGCAACGGCTCTCTGAATACAGGCGAAGGTGACTGAAGAACGTATTGTACCGGAGTCTCAGGTGGTCTCGTCTCCACTTCAACCGGAGACTGGAGTTTAGTCTCTGTGTTCACAACAACTTGTCTCTGGCCCTCAAACACAGATGTACCAGCGTGGAGATGATTGTTTGTCGCTGTGGCGGCCTGAGTCGGAGTGACAGCAGGTTGAGGCAGTGAGATTGGGACTGTCTTCGACACAGACTGGGCATTTAGTGTCAGACCTTGCGGAGGCTGAGCGTTTGAGATTTGAAAACTGAAGCCAAAGTTTCTATTACTTTCTTGAAATGTCAGTCCTGAACTGGAAGAGAACTGAGGAGTGCGTGGCTCGGGGCTCAGTTCTGTCTGGAAGTCGTAAAACAAAATGGGAATTAATCATGGGCTTTTGTTCACACTGAATATCCTAAACAGGAAACTGACTAACAGTATACAGTAAACTACAGTTATTACGAACACCCTTATTACGAAATGATCGATATAAGGAACTAAATTTTAGTCCCGGCCATTTGTTGTATACATGCTGTATATATACGAACTACGGTTATTACGAACTACAATTAGTGGTCCCTTTCTGTTCGTTATAACCGTAGTTTACTGTACATGTATACCTGACCTACCTCTAATGTGCAATTTCAGTCACGAGCAATTCGACTAAACCCAAACATCTCATACTCCTTTTATCCCGACATGTTGTTTAAAACGAAGTACGAAGTAGCTGTACTGTTTGTCTCGAAATATTGATAACTATAAGTTGGTCCCCAGGATATCGTGTCAACAAGGCATTATTGGATGTAGAGTTCACTAACCTCGCAAAAACGAAACATTGATAACCCGACATGTATTAGATGTCTTCCGGGATATCATGTCAACGAAATATCACTGAGTGTGGAGTGCCCACTAACAAAGTTGATAAGTCGAACCTCCCAACATGGTTAGATTTGAAAGGGAAAGTCATCAGAAGTGAAACATCACCAACTCGAACTTCACAACTCATATATCAGTTCACACGATGTAACTTTACAGTCTGTATGAATATTTACAAACTCCGTTTGTCTCGAACTACGGATTTCTCGAACTGAACTTTTCCCAGGACTTCGATTTAAAGAGGCTTAAATGAAATATTTAGTTGTCATATGAAAATCCGCCTTTACGAAATGTGGAAGCTCGGCCTCGACCCGGAAGAACATTAACCTCCGGAATCCGGAACACTCAATAGGTGCCTTGTTCTATTTGTTTGTAATGTCCACTCAATTTGAACACCAATTCATGTTTGTATATGTGTTGATATAAAATAAACACGTTCGATAAAAAAACAACCGGAAAGTGAAGCTAACGAATATTTCATACACTGACGGGGTAAAAGATGTGCTTAAATAAACACATGGATTAAACGTGTACACTGTCCGTATAGACCCACTGGTATGATGAATAGATTATTAGTTTCACAAACGCAGCCTGAGACGGAACAATATCAAATGAACAATCCGAAATAGCCTTGAGTTTGATTTCCTAATAAATTATCTTATCGAGACAGACAGGTCAAATTGATTAATGTCTGCATGTAATCTATTGATAAGTAAACAAACATGGTAAAACTAGACACTTAAATATATTAACGACTCTTGTCTGTTAAGTGCTGTAGTATAATGTCATAGTAGATGATTAAAGCAATTGAAAAAGGGCGTCAACTCTAAACACTTATCAGCGACGAATATTTGAATATTGAAACATGTAAATTATAAATGAGTATTTACAAAGGCAATGATATTAAATAATAGGATATATAAACAACCATTAACAACGGTTTGCCTTTTAATCCAGAATATTTGTAAAAGTTCCCAGGAGATTACTGTTAGCTATATTTCGATTATCCGCAGAGAGGAGATATGAACATTAAGACTCCCATGTACTTACATCAGAGGTGTCAGGTACAACTGACGTTGTCATTGGGGACCGGTACTGCTGCCCACATGTCCTGTATTTAAACATGCTGTAGATGATGTTGTTGAGGTCGGTGCTGTTAAGACTTGGTATTTCCAGTGCCATTGTGGAATTATTGGAATGTCGAGACGATTTGATTCCGTGTTCGTCTCTCACTCGGTCTGAAGTTTTCTGTTCTGACTTTACGGTTAAACCAGTCCAATGTTGTGAGCCAGCCATTCACTGTCAGTCACGTGACATTTTGAACCAATCAGATTCAAGAAAGTTGGTCTTATGAGAATTCGCGGATTAAAACAATAAGGAAATAGCTAATTGTTCTTGTGATTCGAGTAATTGCGAACATTGATTTACTCGACTCTATCACAGTTTTATCCTGTTTCTGCCAGTATGTGATGCTCTCTATCGACGTATTCAATCCATCAGTGAACGTCGATATAAATACCGCCAGGTCAGAAAATACACGTCCATCACAATCACACCACAAACGGCAACTGAAGCTCTGGGCCTGCCCGAATTGTTCTAAAAATAGACGGGGAAAACCCAAGTGACATAATACGCTATAGTTGTAAAGCTGACCTACAAAAACTGTTATTCTTAGCGCAGACGTCTCGGGCAAACATTGCCCTTATAAACGGAACATAGCTGCCTTATATACTGAACAACATTCATGTGTCACCGACGCAGAGCAGAACAGTTCTGTATAACACTGAAAGCGCTATCAGCGGTATAAGAAACACGGTCTGTTCACCATCGAGACCCCCTATAGCGCTGTGTGCACGTACTCAATATTTCTAGCATGTAACATGTGTGTGTGTGTGTGTGTGTGTGTGTGTGTTTGTTTGTTTGTTTGTGTGTATGTGTGTGAGTGTGTGTGTGTGTGTGTGTGTGTGTGAAATGTGAAATGAACGACGGGTAATGAATTGGGTGCGGCTGTTTGAGACAGGGATAGGAGACGGCGTAGTGAGTTTGGGCAGTATAATGTTTTCATCCCCGCTGTGACCTCGCCTGGACTGTCAAACGTGTTTACAGGAAGCAACGTCACGGATATCGTCGACGCGGAAAGTCATATGAGGAACCACGTGACCAGTCATGCGCGTTTATAGACGGCGAATCGTCCCTCGTTACCCTTGGTAAATTTCCCTTCCATCCTTAATCGTCAGTTCAGGTACATTAGCCCATGAGTGAATCTGACCGTCTTAAAACAGCATTCGGTTACTATGGCAACAGCCACGTCAGGCCCATAAGAGGCGTGAGGGTGGTCAAGTCGCCTGAGGAGCCGCAGGTTTGCGTTTCTTGGACACTAAATGAACAAGTGATCGTGGGTTCGAATCCTGGCTCGCCCCGTTTGTATTTTTGGGTTTGTCAGCACCATGCTATGGGTTTCACCAAAGTGGTAAATGTTTCAAATTTGAGATTAAGAAAAGAAAAGTAGGTTTACTAAATATATTTAGTTAATGCCACGATTACGGGGCAATTTAAATATTGGAGAGGTTATATAAAAATAACCATTAGTTTCTGAAATCTGTAGGTGAGTTGAAATGAAATGGGGTTTAACGTCGCGTTCAACAAGATTATTGCACTTATCTTACGACGTGCATGCTTTCATGTGTTTTTGTGTGCGTGTGTGTATTTGTGTGCGTGTGCGTGTGCGTGTGCGTGTGTGCGCGCACTTGTGTGTAATGCCGGTTTTATAGCGCTAATTCCATCCCCTTATCTAATGATAAGAGCATATTTGTCAATTAATATATTTTATTCGCTAAAGGATACACAAAGTCAGTCAGTAAAACGTTATTATAAATACACATAGTAATATATGGTCAGAAGAAATAACGAAATTATATTGGGCTATATTGCAAGTATATGTATGCTATATATTACTGACTGGACACGCGGCATATACATATGGGATAAGCCAAGTGTCTATATTTCAAAGAAACACTTCTAACTGTTATGTGTAAACACATTCCATGATATGTATGGATGATCAACATTTTTTTCCTGCGGATTCCTTATTCTCTCAAACAATCGTAATTAGCTATATCACTCAAAAGAAGTTAAGGACCCCCCCCCCCCCCCCCCCCCGATTCTTTCATATCATTGACCGGCCGTGATATTGCTGGAATATTGCCAAAAACGGCTTAAAAAGCCATACTCACGCATTCCTATTACTGTAGTTAACCTGTCATGACATGACAGATTAACTAAAGTAATATGAAGGTTGGTCCTTAACTGCATTGCAGATTATCTATAGTCATATGAAAGAATCTGGTGATCCTTAACTTCTTTTGTGTAGCATATAGATCATTACAGTTGACCTGCCCTCGTCTCGCTGCCCTCTATAATAAGACATACCGTTGAGATAACACTACCAAGTGTAGGTTTTCTACATGTGGTTTTACCCCGCTTTTAGCAATATTCCAGCAATGTCACGGCGGGGGACACCAGAAATGGGCTTCACACATTGTACCCATGTCGGGAATCGAACCCGGGTCTTCAGCGTGACAAGCGAACGATTTAACCACTAGGCTACCCGACCGCCCCTTTTCTACATGTGCCAGTGACCGGCCACTCGCCTCTTCTGCCATCCTAATTTGGTATTATTAGACCACAGAATATTAGATTTCTTGAAGTTTTAGAAAGACACCTCAGATCATTTTATAATCTTGATAAATAAATATACGAATTGAAAGTATTCAATTTCGAATTAGTTTATTGTATTTAATGCTATATATTAAAGACTTGCATAAGAGGTATGTAAAACAGTGTCATCCGACGTATCGATCACTCATTTTATGTAACAGATTTTCTTAACAATAGAGTTGTTCTTCTACAACGGATGTACGACATTTTTAAACTACTCAAATGAAGTGAAGGGCCACATGATTTTTTCATATTACTATATAGTTCATATGACATACCATAAAATGCCATGACAGATTAACTTTAGTGATATGAAAGAATTGGGTGGTCCTGTACCTCTTTTGAGCTGTACATATGGTATTGACAACTCGTGTTATCGTTATGCTCACTGACGTATCAAAGACTTGCCACCATTTCATGCGTGGGCATCACACCGGCCCCATGTGACATGCAAGTTTGTTGCGTGTCTTTCCGGGCATGCGTATTTGAACGTATGTGCATTGGGTTTGCGCAGACATGTCATTTCCAGAATTATATTTGCGAATTCAGACCTTGGCTTCCGAAGCCAAGTATTTCTCTAAAGCGTCCAGCAAGTCATTGATTCCCATCTGGTTCGGGGGTTTCCGGAAGCCCGTTGCCAAGTGACAAATGCGTCTGTCCCACCAGTGTTGCAACACGTCCCTGACCTTTGTGCTCTTCTCGACCTCTGACCTCAGTTTCTCGACCTCTTTCTCAGCCTCGGCGTTCTCCTGTTGGTTTGAAATATGAAAAAATGTAAAGTTTGGTCTCGTACTTGAATGATTTCATCATTAAATGTATAACACTATTTATTATTAACGTTTTGGGACGTGTGGCACAGTCGTCTAAGGCGCCACAATAGGCCGCGCAGAGTTGCGTTTCTTAGTCGTGCCAGAAGAATCAGACTCCAATATTCGACCATGATCCTTTGGTTTGTCGGCACCACAGCCATCCCGCTGAGTTTCATCCAGTGTTAAACCCCTGTGACCTGCATCACTTTGGTCGTTTTCAGCTATGATTTGACAGAAGTACCGTCAAAAGCGACGGAAAACCCGTCACTCGCCCAATTCAACGCTATTGGGACAAACATTTGTTTTTATTGTAAATCAAAACGTCATGTCAGTGAAAGCATTATCAAGTGATGGAGTACATGTACATCACTATTCAAGACTACCTGGATCAGCCGCTTCATCTTCTCCTGGCGGTGTAATCGGCTCCTGTTGGCGGAATCCTTGTTCTTTTGCTTTCTGAGAACAATCTTCTGTTTTTCTTCTTCGGTCAGCTAAACGAAAGAATTAAAATTATCGACTTCAGATATCGGAAATACTTTATAATCATTAAAACAAATATTTATGAAATGTCAAAATAGTACATCAGGTAAAGTATTCTCCTACCTTTCCAGCTGGTTTGTTGAGGAAGGAAACCCTCAGTTCCTTCTCTCCTCTCTGGAGCCTCTTGAGCTGAATCTTCGACTTCAGTCCCTCTTTAACTGAGACAGATGTATATACATCGTGTGCGGCAGTGGCTGTGGCGCTGTTCGTTTCCGGTTCCGGCGACGGGATATCTCCGATGAATGACGACGAGGCTGTGTGCTGTTGGTATGGGACGCCTCGATCTGCCAGGTCCATAGTTACATCGATCATTGTCTGCGTGGAAATGAGGCTGGTGCCTGCAGAATTCTGCGAGGGTGCAGACAGAAAGTCCACGATTTCCAAATGTGCGGCACTTGAATTGGAGGTCAAAGGATCCATCGGTGTTCCCATGATGGCGGATCCCGACTCAGCCATAGACCATTCAGCCCTGGTGTTGTTCATAGACGGATCCGTCGTTGATCCCGGGATGGAGGATCCGGACTCCATCATTGAGTCTGCAGTTGGAGATCCGGACAGGGGCGAGAGGGTATGCGCTATGGTGCCATCAGGAACAGATGGGACACTAACATACGTGCCCGTTCCAGAAGTAGGCGTCGGTTGGTAAGCGGGTTCAAATTGAAAGATCAACTGCAGCAACTGGTTCAAGTCATCATGTGAAAGATCAGGTTGCAACGGAACAGCTTCGTATATAGGGGAGTCAGCAGCAGGTTGGGCGTCTTTAACGCCATTTGTAAATGAAATCTGCGACGATGTTTGTAGCTGTTCCGGGTTTTCAATAATTATCCTCTGAGTCTGTGTTTGGTTGCTGTCCGGTGACCCCATTGCTTCCGAGAACAAAGGGAGGAACTCTGTGTAAGGTATGCCACCCAGGTCAGCATCAGTGGCCTTGTCCTCTTGGTAGTTTGCCACCGTTCCGCACTGAGTCAGTGTTTCAGGCTGGGTGATGTAGGCTTGGTCCATGGTGATAGTTCTGTCTGGTTCAGTGGCCTTCGTAGGTGTAACTGAATGAATCTGTTTCACACCAATATGTATGTCTGGATTGCTCTCTGATTCGATGGGATGCATCACGTGACCTGTCTTTTCGATTTCTGATTGGTTGTCAACCATGGAAGCACCGGACACGTCAAGGGGACTTCCTTGAACCTTTGAAGGTGGAAATGTTAATTTATTAATCTATTTTTAAATATGAGTAATGGTCATGTAAATAAAGCCATTATCATTAAACTCCGTGTTTCTTTCCATAATGTAATTGTTTTGATAACGTTGCATGTTTCTGGTTTCTTTCAGAAATGCAAATTGCTCAACCATAGAATATATAAGCCTTGATTAATAATAATTGTTTTAAAAAATGATAGGGGCCTCCGTGACATCATGCATTACCCAAAATATGATTACATCTTTTTCATATAAAATACATAATGATTATGAAATGTTAAAGAAAGTCAGATGGTACTGACATTTTCTAGAGCAGTATAACGGTATATCATGAGGATACAGAAACCTGATCTCTCACCTCTCCATATTCCTGATCCAAGTCGGGGAAGAGTATTTCCTTGTTCCACGCGCTGTAGTCGCCAAGAAGCGTCTTCAGGTAGCTTGTCGGGTTGTCCGTCACCACGCCGCTCATCTCCGGTACTCGTTTCTGCACACTGGGATCCATTGTTACTTCCTTGTCCGATTTCTGCTGACCGCCTTTTTACCGTTGTTCTTCTACACCCGTCTTCGACGCTTGCTCTCGAGTCAATGCTATCCGTAACAGATACGCTGCATAGATTCTAACTTCAGCGCCAGCTTGGTCTAATAGTTTCATTCATAACGCCACGTCATTCTGCGGTGGAGGAAACCTGTACATGAGTGATTGCATCACCCTGTTGGTCGTGTCTCGTGACGGCCCTCTATCACGTGCGTGCTTTTAAAACATGGAAATATTTAACTATCTCGTGCTCACTCTATTTTCTTCCTTGATAGAATGCATTAGGAGGCTTTCACTATGAAGGCAAATGATTTCGTTTTTTCATGTCATTTCAATATAAAAATAGCTGCATTTGGACGTTTACACTGAAAATGGCCAATGTCAGAAATCCTGTTACTCGGGGATGCCCCTTTTTATTTCGAAAAAAATCATTATTTCTGTATAAATTACCACCAAAGACAATAAATAGATCTTAAATGTGCACCCCCCCCCCCCCCCCCCCCCTTTTCAAAAACGCTGTATCCGCCCATGATGTCAATCTCTCCTGTATAGGAGATATACTATTGTGTAGTATTTTCTGATATCAGATTCACTATGCATACAGAGGCGCATCAGTGCGTTGATTTCAGTGCAGTGTGTTTAGTGCTTGTAAGGTGTGCGTTTAGTTCAGATTACATTTTAATCAGCAAAAAAGCATTCCTCATTTCTTCAGTGTCAGTCTTCTGTTATTTTTTATGAAGTCGGTGCTGGATTAGGTCCGGGTGTCTCAAGCTAGTATTACACGCCACACAGCCCAGTGTAGACAACCGTTAACATTGTACGAAGATAGCGTCACCCTGTGTCCATTCTCACAGCCTACCTCCACACACGTCACAGCGTGGTGGAGGGGGGTGGGTTTGACGTCGCGTTAAGGATTATTGCACTTTATGACAATGTGCATGCATTTCAAATTTGAGATTAAGAAAAGAAAAGTAATTTTATTAAATATATATATATATATAAATATATATACATATAGCTGGAATATTGCTGAGTGCGGCGTTAAAAAACGTGTAACCTCACACGGCATTGGAAAACGTTCTTTGAAAGTTCTTAGTGTATAGATCCAGTAATATTTAGTATGCACCCATTTCTTGCAGGGATACGTTTATATATATATTAGTATTTGTACGCATTATGAACTATAGTCGAATCTATATCTCGCAGACCACATTCGTGACAACTCGTGTCATTCCGTGATATCCCGTTACGGAAAGGTGCGAGTAGTGACGAATACACAGTAAGCTGACACAGGTCACAGGAGAACAACAGAATATTTTATTTCAGTCACATAAATAAAAAAAACACACACATTCAGATAATACAAGACAACGTTAACATGTTGCACGGATCACCGAAATCACGGATGATTGTACGTGCATTACACGTTGACGCATAGGCAGCAACAGCCTTGCAACATAATTTTGATGATTATGGAAATGTTTTTGGAGATACAATTTTGATTGATCTATCATGTTAGCGTCAGTGTTGCGACTTTCGTCTGATATACAAAATAATATTGTCCCGTGCAGGAGGGTCGCAGCTTCATACACGAACTATTGTCTTTGTAATGTCGCCTCCTAACCACCTCCTAACCACCTTAAAATATGCAGATCTCATGCTAGCCACCTTGAAATATGCAGATCTCATGCTAGCCACATTGAAATATGCAGATCTCATGCTAGCCACATTGAAATATGCAGATCTCATGCTAGCCACATTGAAATATGCAGATCTCATGCTAGCCACCCTGAAATATGCAGATCTCATGCTAGCCACATTGAAATATGCAGATCTCATGCTAGCCACATTGAAATATGCAGATCTCATGCTAGCCACATTGAAATATGCAGATCTCATGCTAGCCACATTGAAATATGCAGATCTCATGCTAGCCACCTTGAAATGTGCAGATCTCATGCTAGCCACCTTGAAATATGCAGATCTCATGATAGCCACCTTGAAATATGCAGATCTCATGCTAGCCACCTTGAAATATGCAGATCTCATGCTAGCCACCTTGAAATGTGCAGATCTCATGCTAGCCACCTTGAAATATGCAGATCTCATGCTAGCCACCTTGAAATATGCAGATCTCATGCTAGCCACATTGAAATATGCAGATCTCATGCTAGCCACATTGAAATATGCAGATCTCATGCTAACCACCCTGAAATATGCAGATCTCATGCTAGCCACCTTAAAATATGCAGATCTCATGCTAGCCACCTTGAAATGTGCAGATCTCATGCTAGCCACCTTGAAATATGCAGATCTCATGCTAGCCACATTGAAATATGCAGATCTCATGCTAGCCACATTGAAATATGCAGATCTCATGCTAGCCACATTGAAATATGCAGATCTCATGCTAGCCACATTGAAATATGCAGATCTCATGCTAACCACCCTGAAATATGCAGATCTCATGCTAGCCACCTTGAAATGTGCAGATCTCATGCTAGCCACCTTGAAATATGCAGATCTCATGCTAGCCACCTTGAAATATGCAGATCTCACGATCGTCACGCCGAAGATCCGGGTTTGATTCCCCACATATATTTACAATATGTGAAGCCCATTTCTGGTGTCCCCCGCCGTGATATTGCTGGAATATTGCTAAAAGCGGCGTAATTCACTCACTCATGCCAGCCACCTTGATATATGCAGATCGCACGCTATCCATGGAATATTTAGAACGTCCTGTTAACCACCACGTGATGTTCCGGATTTCACTACGCAGCACCACAAACATTATCGGAATCTTGTGAGCCACCACCGTGTCATTGTGAACTTCTGTAACCACCACACAGAAGGCTAGCGCCTCAGACAGACAGTAGGCTAGCGCCTCAGACAGTAGGCGTGCTGGCGGAGACTGGTGGCAATTGATTTGCTTTCCTCTTGCAGCTGGGCCTTGACTCTCAGAAGCTCACTGCGTTGCTCACGGAGCTGTCTGGCTTTCTGGAAATACATGGAAATATTTACAATCATCACCATAGTCAGGACTTAACGAACTCGCGATCATCACCACAGTCAGGGAGGAACTGAAACATATTTTTGTCACTTCATATTTTTTTCTGCCGAGATACACAGTATTTCTTTTTCTATGGAATAAAAAACAGAAATTGTTTTCCTCACTTCACCTTTCTTTCGGTCAAGAAATACAGTATTTCTTTTCTGTGGAATGAACAGCCGAACAGTACATTTTTTAACTACATATGTTTTAGGCTTATCAGCATGCCATGTGATTAATATATCATATTTTATAATCTGAGGCAAAGTTAATTTTATTATTTTCTTTTTAATATTTTTTATTTCTTTTCCTTATACAACTAACACAGTCAGCATCCTGTAGTAGTAAGCATATTTGAAATGTCTTAAAACACGTTAGAAGGTCACACAATCACCGTCCTCCAGGAGACCCGTGAAGATCCGGGGTAGAATAGGTCTACAGCAACCCATGCTGGCCATAAATGGCGACCATGCTTGTCATTAGTCAGGATGGTCAGGCTCGCTGACTTGGTTGATGCATGTCATCGTATCCCAATTGCGTGGATCGATGCTCATGATGTAAATCACTGGGTTGTCTGGTCCATACTTAATTATTTACAGACCGCCGTTATATAGGGGAATATTGCCAAGTGCGGCGTTTAACACAAGCAAAAACAGACAAACAAACAAACCAAACTTACAGCTTCAAGTTCCAGTTCCTTCTCGTATTTCTTGTCCCTGCATCTCTTGGCCGCCAGTCGGTTCAACACCCGCTTGCGTTCCTTGGAGTCAAGAGTCCTCAGGTGTTCCTGATTAGAGAAAGCGATTATTTAATTGGTTTTGACATTTTACTGCAAAACCTCGTTAATCCGGACATTGCCCTACCCAGTGAAAAAAAATATTCCGGATAAACGAACCATGAATATTCCTTTAATTGTACATGGAATGTTCTTAACGGTAATTGTCCGGATTAGAGAGTTTCCGGAGTAACGAGGTTGGGAGATGTTTATATCTATTAAACCTACGACCACGTGTCCATTTGATATGAAGACAGTAAACTGCTAGGCAAAAGAAAGTATGAATCCATGTTTGATGGTTTGTAAAAATGAAACAAACAAGACATGTTATTTCGATGGCATTGTATATGACACGGGAATCATATCTATGCCATGGACCTATAGTATGTAGTATTTAGGCGACTGTCTTCAGCCTATTAATCTTTTGTTAACCTATGTATTGTTTGAGTCAAATTCAATTTTCAAGAGTAAATTCTTTTGAATTTTCTGTCAATATATATATATATACTTGAAACAAAATAAATAAAGAAATAGTTCCTAACAAGTTACCTTACCTTAAACTCTTGCGACGTTTCGTCCATGGAACTCTCAGAGACTCTGGACCTCGTCCTCCGAACCCTATTCCGTGTCTGGGAGCGAGTCTGCATAGATCGACTTGCATCCGGGGTACCGAGGTCTATATTGCTTTCCCCAACAGCACAGTTGGGATCTCCGATCGTAGCCATATCATGCAACTGTATTGTCTCCAGTGCGTCAGGACCTAGACTGGACATTAAACCTGCTTGACCAGTGTCCATCAATTCCCCATTTGTCCCAACTGGACAGTCGTAACCCTGCTCCAGTTCAGTTAGTTGAGAAAGAACTGGTAGAGTTGAACCACCATTTTGTATGGCCGCGTACGAGTTGTTAAGTGACATGCTCATGGTGTTGTCATGGGTGTGGTCGTTGTTGTGGTCGTTGGTGTCAGATTGCGCCACATCCGGCTGCATTGACGATACAGCGGCACCCGAGGACACAGGGTTGGCGACAACGTTGATGATGTCCATTAGCATCTGTTCTGTAACAGTACCGCACGTCTGTCCAAATGGGGCAACGTTTTGCGGGGCCAGCGAGGTAATCTGTCCACACTGAGAGTCTTGTGCGACACGCTGTGATGCTGCGCCGGTTGCGGGCGGTAGAGTCCGACGGTGAGGCGGAAGAGTCATGCGTGCTTGGAAGGCAGCCTTGTGATAAATAAAAGTGGGATAATAGTGTTGATCTCATTTACGATTCGTGTTTCCCTTTATTACTGATACAACTATATAAAACCAAATAAAAATCAGTTGATCGAAGCATGTACAATAATGGACATCTTCTCGTGGTTAAACTTTCTAACCCTCCCTCGTCTCTCTCTCTCTCTCTCTCTCTCTCTGTCTCTCTCTCTCTCTCTCTCTCTCTCTCTCTCTCTCTCTCTCTCTCTCTCCTCTCATATATAAATCATCCCCTCCCGCTGTCCCGGGCCACTCTCTCCCTAACCCTGTCAAGTTTCTCACTTTCATCCCTCCCTCCTTCTCTCTTTCTCCCCTCCCTCCTTCTCTCTACCCCCCCCCCCCCCCCCCCCCCCCCCCCCTCCCCTTCTCCCTCTCTTTCTCATCGTACATTACTTACCAGGTCTCCGAATTCAGTGGGATCTGACGCCGCAGAGCTCGGTACAATAGTTAGCGTGCCCGAGATAAACCCGTCGAATAGTGTGTCCATGTTGGCGTCCAGCGACGTATCATCAATATGCAGCTGGGCAGGTTGATCCATTGTTGCCCTCCACAGAATACACAACGAAATATCTAAAGTTACCCTGTACTTCGTGTAGCATGTGCTTGTAGCCTCGACACACCGTATGTCCTACTCGATATTCGAAAACATTCATGGGTATTTAATTTGACGTGGGTCTAATTTTAGAACAAGCCGCGATCTGTTTCCCGAAGCGACACAAATTCACAGTCAAAGTCAGTACTAGGAATATTGAGGCAGTGTCAACCGTGAATCATTACTATTGATGAAGCGTAATTGATTAATATTTCATTTCCGATTGTTTTATTAAATAAAAAAGGAAGTTTGATCTAGAGAGTAGTTGGTGTTAATATTTATTTTTCTATCACCGTATTGGTGACATCCCTCGTATGACAGACCTTGATACTTGCATATTCTATAAGGTTATCAATTTACTATATCTTTGATTATTCGTTTTTAAGGTAAATTTCAACAATGGTTAAATTGATATACGAACACGTGCGTATATTTCAAATACAAATCCGAATGTATTTTAAGAAAGGCGTAATGTTCAATTTGATCACATAACGTAAAATTGATTAGGTTTGGATTTGTCCTTGTGTCATTGGTCTGAAATAAACACAACGCAGATAATTTGTCACGGAAATATATTTCACTGTTAAACAAGTCTCAACATAATCAATATGCTACAACAGCCCGTGGGTGATGGGCTGGATTCTACATGTCTTTGGTGATCAGTACAGCCACTCTTGAATGGGCTGTGCAGGACTTATTGATCACATTCTGCATGTATTAATACATGTTACACGCTTGTGACTCCCTCCAATTGTGAGCCCGCGAGAACAGGTTAACGTCCTGTCATGTCGCGCAGCAGGAAACTAAAGTTAAAGAACAGCAATTGATCTGTTCAGGTAACTTCAAACTGTAACATTGCATTACCCTTCAACCCAACACCGTCGATATCAACTATATTAATATACTTATACTAATATTGTATTTGTCATTCAAGCTCTTTTGTAGCTCCCGGAATCACGTACACTTCGGCCCACTTCAACTGTAAAAATCACAAAGATAAACTGCTGCTGCTGCTGCTACTACTACTACTACTACTACTACTACTACTACTACTACTACTAAACTACTACTACTACTACTACTACTGCTACTACAACTACTGCTATTACTACTACTACTACAACTACTGCTGCTACTACTACTACTACTACTACTGCTGCTACTACTACTACTACTACTACTACTACAACTACTGCTATTACTACTACTACTACTACTACTACTACTACTGCTACTACAACTACTGCTATTACTACTACTACTACTACTACTACAACTACTGCTGCTACTACTACTACTACTACTACTGCTGCTACTACTACTGCTACAACAACAACAACTACTACTACTAGTATTGCTACTACTGCTGCTACTACTACTACTACTGCTACAACAACAACTACTACTACTAGTATTGCTACTACTACTACTACTGCTACAACTACTACTACTACTACTGATTCTGCTACTGCTACTGCTACTGCTACTACTGCAACTACTACTGCTACTACTACTACTTCAACTACTAGAGGTCTGATCAATACCATCCGAACACATATTACTGTTGTCGATTGCTCAAGGTAACAGTTGGATCTTTGTGGACATCGGAAATTAGATCCACTTTTATGTATACTAGTCAAAATTTTGATAGGGACATTTCAGTTATTTCTTATAAACAGAACTGTCTGTATCAACGGTGGGCAATGAGTCCAACGCGCTGTGGGTTCGAATCCCGGTTCGCTCCGATTATGTCTCTAGGTTTGTCAGCACCATACCCGTGCTCGTGGGTTTCACCGAAGTGGTAAACGCCTGAGACCTGCATCACTTCGGGCTTTCATCCCACATCAAGCTGACATGCCGTGATATAACTGGAATATTGTTCAAAGCGGCGTTAAACCCAACTCACTCACTTACTCTAACGGCATATATACGTGAATATAAACAATATGTCGCTCTTATCCAAATACAAAACACCATGGACGTTAATCATATTAAATTTTTATCTCGTGAAGCTCTGGTTTAGAAATATGAAGTCACATGCTTCTCATTGTTGTTTTAAAAATAAATCAGACATTAAATAAACTTTTTATCCCACGCTCACAAGACAGGACCTGCACTGTCACAGTCACGCGGTACGGAACTTGCTCCTCTCTGTGTAGTACTGACAACATTTGAATCTGTCAGTTGAGTTATTGTACTTCCGTCTTTTTCTTCTCGAAAACAACATATTGTTGATTCTAAAATTAAATAAAAACAAATTCGATTCGAGCAGACACATGCAACGATACAATAAATATCCATATAAAGTCAAACACCGTTGTGTCCAACGTTGTTATGAAATGGGCTTCACACATTGTACCCATGTCGGGAATCGAACCCGGGTCTTCGGCGTGACGAGCGAACGCTTTAACCACTAGGCTACCCGACCACCCATCATGCTAGTATAAGGGCGGTGGGGTAGTCCAGTGGTTAAAGCGTTCGTTGATCACACAGAGCTGGGGTTTATTTCCCACATGGTCATGTACATAATAACGTGAAGCCAACTTCTCGTGCCACCGCAGATGCTTCACTGTAACACTGCTAAACGCGGCATAAATACCACCCTCACTGTGGCGGCGAAAGTGGATGAGTGAGTTATGTTTTAACAACGGTTATAACAAGCTACGCGTGGATCACTTACCACAAATATATTGTGAATATCCGACCAAACCAAAAATTAATATCATTATGTCTACAACTGATTGTAAATTAATTGAACGTCCAGCTATCTATATCTATCAAGCGATGTCACTTCGTAGTACATTATTGTCACAACAATAACAGCTGTGTACATCACGTCCATTGTAATACATATGTAACTATGGGCCGATGGCCTCATTGAAATCGAAGAGTTATGTTTTAAGCCGCATATTTTGGATATACAGTATTTCAGTTACATCACGGTTTGGGATAGCCTTGCTCCAAGTCTGTACTGAACGATAAGTCCATATATATATATATATATATATATATATATATATATATATATATATATATATATATATATATATATATAGTATGTCTATCCTTATAATAGGTAACTCCAGATAAGGACGCGTGTCTTTTATAGGGACTACTTTTATATTGATATTTATTCTACAAATAAACCTAGTCTATTAAACTATTAATTATTGGCTTAGAGACTTGTGCAAGTCTAGGTGTGGGAATTGGGCATTGTGCTGAGAAACCAACGGTCATAAACAGAGCCAACCATGGATTCGAACCAATGTATAGCGGATCCGGGAAAATCTCGGGGACGCAACTCTGTTTGAATTGTAGATTCATTAGAAGTAGTGGTAGAGGTGGTAGAGTTATTAAAGGTATTTGAATAGTAAAAGCTTGCATTGTTGAGTCTTTGGTGGATTCAATAGTTAGAGTAGTGTTTGCAGCATTATTAGTTGTGGTACTAGTAGTATTAGTATTAAAGAGGTACTGGCATTGGTAAAGGTATAGGTAGTCGTGCTAGAAGTAGAAGTAGTAGATGTAGTAGCAGCAGTAGTGATAATAATAGTAGTAGTAACAGTAGCAGCAGCAGTAGCAGTAACAGTAGTGGTAGTAATAATAATAATAATAGTAATAGTAATAGTAGTAGTAATAGTAGTAGCAGCAGCAGTAGCAGTGGTGGTAGTAATAGTAATAGTAATAGTAGCAGCAGCAGTAGCAGCAGCAGTAGCAGTGGTGGTGCGACTAACATTGCTTTACACCGTAAAAACAATTTTACAGCTGTTCGAGGCGAAGTTGCACTAGTAGACATAGTAGTAGACACAGCAGTAGATGGAGTAATAGTTGTAACAGTTTCAGCAGTAGTTAAACGTATTATTATTTTTTACAGTAGTTGTAGAAGTGCTTGTTTGTGACATTCACACACTGACAATTCTATTTGCCCCTATCAGATACTTGTATCACGTGGACTTGCTATTGGATGCGTGGTTGCGTCAGTGTGAATCTCGCGTCATGGGTTTTTCCAGCCCAGCGTTTCCTCGAGAATAGGGGGGATGTGGTCAGTGAGGCGCGTTGCCGTCGGAACTCAATCTATTTCTGTACATGACAGCAACGCGTTGCGTGTAAATGTGAAATGAAGTAGTGCGTTGTGTGTGAATGAACCGTCAAAACATTTCCTGTTCCGTAAGTTGACTTCCTATAGGTGTTTACTGCCGTATTCCTGTGAGTGAGTGAGTGAGTGAGTTGGGTTTAACTGTCCTTTGAACAGTCTTACGGTCATATCACGGCGCGTCAGCTTAATGTTTGAGGAAAGCCCAAAGTCATGCAGGTCTCAGACGTTTAACATTTTAGTGAAACCCACGAGTACGGGTATGGTGCTGACAAACCTAGAAACATAATCAGGGCGACCCGGTATTCGAACCCATACTCATAGCTATGACGTAGATTTATTTGTGATCTGAGTGCCAGAAGAAAGTAACCGAAATTGTTTTCAAGTTATTGGAAATTAAAAGAACAGTTGTTACATTTGATTACATCTAATTACCCATTTACCATTCCTGACACAGTTTTGTGAATGCTAATCTGTGGCTAGGTAATTTTGGGTAAACATGAATTGGTTCAATGTAGAATTGGGTAAGAAATGAATTAATTTTGCTACTTGACCCATACCATATTTGCAATGTTAAAAAAAGGAAATTTGTTGACTTTCAAAGATAAGATGTCTAAGATACTCACCAGCAGTTGTGTAAAATGCGATGTTTTTTAATTTCTAATTTAAAAAAATAAAATTATATTTAAAAAAATAAATAAAACCATGTAGAAGTATACTTTGAGTGCTGACACATTTCATGTTTTGGATATAATATAATATCGCTGACTAAAGATATGTTTAATAATATTGAAACTTAAACATATGACAACCTCAAATGACAGGTACAGTTTCTTTTGCTCTTGAGTATATGTACAGCACACTTTAAAGCGTCGTCTTCATGATACATAGCGATGGTTCCAGCATGGTACATTTTGTGTTTGCGTTCGCGCCGCTAAAACAGTTTAACAGTATTAATGTTACAGTGGAGCCCCCTTAAACCGGACAGTAGAGTTCTCCATGAAAACTAAACGAGTGTCCGGATAAACGAATTATATGTATAGAGTATTTGTTTGTTGTTCTCAGCAATATTTCAGCTACATAACGACGGCCTGTAATTTATCGAATCTGGATCGCACAGTCCAGTGATTGATATTGTGAACAACGGTCCATGCTGTCGGGATACGATGGCACGATATAATCATACTGAGTTTTCAATGTGGAAATAGGTTGCTTTTAGACTTAACCGCGCTATAATGCATTGGGAGCGTTTGGTATCGGCCAAGATTTACATGAAGCGGCATGGGTTGGCTCCAAAGTTGAGGTCTGTTTTTTAAATAAAGCATGGCGCTGTTTTTACACATGCATGTTTTTTCACATCATATATGCTTTACCCTTAAGTATAACAGTACACTGAAAGTGCATTTAAGTGCTACAACATTAGCATTGCGTCACAAAGATGTCTTTCCCTGGAAATATATTTCACGTCGTGATAAGATAGTGACACCTCGCATCAAACATGACGGTGTTATTATTTTTAACCCACATACTATAGAAGACGGCGACTGACTAATATAAGTAGTTGAATTAAATCTCCGTGGAGATTTCAGGGTAAAATAAGTACTTTTAATGGCCGCTGTAATATAGCCATAATATTCCTGTCTGCGGCATAAAACAATTCACAAAACACACCTAACACTTAAGTTCTGGAAATACTACACATTTATTAAGTCTTAGGAAGGATTATGTTCCTATATCAACATAAATGTTATCTCAAAGTTAATCCAGGGGACAAACACTTTATTCCCACTGTCTTGTGCGGGGGACACCCAAACGTTGAAACACTGCCAGGATCCGCATGTTGTGGGTTCGAATTCAACATTCGTTCCCATTATGACCCTTGGTCTGTCAGCGCCATACACGTGCACCATGTTCAGGAAGTCCGTACCCAGCCATTCAGCAGAAACATGCCTTCAACTTCCGGCAAAGAGTGATCATGTGACTTGTGTTATCCACAGTTGCCTCCCCTGTTTTGACTCAACCTTGCCTGTACTTGAATAAGCCTGTGTCTTACTTCAGTCAGGTCACTGCGTTGTTGGAGTAGAATCTTCACCCTCTGAAATATCACCCATAAGTGTTAATTATATATTACACAATGAGAATTCATCAATTTTATCGTGATAAAGAACATCCACGTTGGGGACAATGTACTTTTACGTTTAATATTTCTGTTTTAAGTAAATAAGCTATACAATCTGGAACTCGAGTGTACGACTCTTGCTTAAAAGTTGTTTGATCAACATTCAAGGCCTCAGTACAGCTTTCAAAAGTTTAATAGTAGACATGCGGAGGACATTTCCAATTTTGACGCATCAATGACAAAATTATGTCCGATGTAGTTCCCTATTTTGACTTGTACCATATGTTCCCGTGTTTTCAGGTGAAGAATTGACTTGCCTTTGCATGTGTTTGTGATTTATAAACACATGCTCATGATACAGTCGGAATCGAAAAGCTGACTCTGCTTTTAGCAGAGATTTCTATTGAATATGGAAAGGTTTTTTTCGCTTTCATTTACAACACTTCACCATACCATGCCACACCAGGAGGTGTGTATCATTAGATTGAATAAATCAAGTTTTGTTACATCAAAGTGTGGCAGTGTTGTATATATGCATATTTTCTGTATTTTATATATTTGTATACATGGTATACATATAATGTTTTGTAATGAAATGGTGTTTTAACCTTTAATTATGTTGAATTAAATAAACCTGTATGGCTGATGTATTCTACAGCTCTGTATAACGACTTGTTCTCTGCGTGGAGTTTTATTTGTATTTTAACTTCTACTGGTTGTGGGGTAGAGTAGGTAGCTTGGGTCGGTCCTTTGTTTAGTACAGCTTGCGCCTGATTGGCCTTGTTTCAAATACTAACACCCAGCATTTAACCAGCACACCAGCCACTACACCTTGCCATGCGGACAACAAATTTCTGCTCTGTGTAGTATTTTCATCTGAGACCGTCCAAATAGATGCAGGCACCATAAGTCCTGTCACATTGCGTTGGTGAACACAGTTCCCGCCCCAGTTTCACCTACAGGGGCGATTGTGTGTTCTGATAATAAATCCTCACGACAATTAACGACCTGTGTTATTCATAAACACCCCCGGTTACAAAAGTACACGTGATAGATCCACTTTCGTACCCTTTTCAGAACCCACAATACTCGCTTAAGTTCCTCTCGCACCAAAGCACCCGTCATATTTTTATCCACTTTAGCATCTGTCTAAAAACCGGCCAAAGCGCCTATCAAAGTGCCCCTCATAAACTGCCGGGCAAAAGAACAGTTCCCGAAACACTGCAAACTAAAGCTCCAAAACAGAACTATGATACCAGTATCAAAAACATTACCCTGCTTTTTTGTTTAAAAAAAACATGCTTGTTTCATATTTAGCCACCATGAAAGATGGGCGGATACTTTCATTTGCCCAGATATTTAGTTCCCGTCATAATACCCGCTTTAGTTCTTGTCACAGTTCCTGTCATAGTACCCGCTTTAGTTCGTGTCACAGTTCTCGTCATAGTACCCGCTTTAGTTCGTGTCACAGTACCTGTCATAGTACCCGCTTTAGTTCGTGTCACAGTTCTCGTCATAGTACCCGCATTACTTTCATAATACCCGTTTTAGTACCCTTCCAGGATTACGTTATGGTGTCTGTCACAGTACCCGCATTACTTTCATAATACCTCGTTTAAGTACCCTCCCAGGATTACGTTATGGTGTCTGTCACAGTACCCGCATTACTTTCATAATACCCGTTTTAGTACCCTTCCAGGACTACGTTATAGTGTCTGTCACAGTACTCGCATAACAACCCGTCATATTATCCGAGAAATTACCCGACAGAGTACCCGCATTAGTACCCACCATACGTACTAGCATCCACTTTAGTTCCCGCTAAAGTACCCATCGTAGAATCGTCATAGTACCCACAAGTCCTTCAGGCTCTGTAGTTTCTTGTCGCGGCATTTCTTAGCCGCCTTCTTGTTCTGTTCCCGTTTTCGAACCAATGCCTCATCACAGTGACCAGCCTGTAAAATAAACAAACATATGATTTGTTTGTTTGTTTGTTTGTTGTTTAACGCCGCACTCAGCAATATCCCAGCTATATGATGCCTGTCTGTAAATAATCGAGACTAGACCAGACAATCCAGTGACTGACATCATGAGCATCGATCTACGCAATTGGGATATGATGACATGTATCAACGAAGCCAGCGAGCCTGACCACCCGATCCCGTAAGTTGCCTCTTACGACAATCATGGTCGCCTTTTACGGCAAGCATGGGTTGATGAAGACCCAAGGTGAGGTTCTTGTTGAGTGTTATATATGATGGGTACATCAAACGGATGCATTTCTGTTACCTGACTGTTTTTGTTTCTCGACCTCCCTGTTGCTCGTCCCTCTGTTGCCATGGTTACATGGTTGTGGGTCACAACTGTCTGTGGAGGTAATGGCGTTTCGCTGCCACGTCCAAACTGTCTCGAACTCGCTTCAATGTTATTGCTGATACCGTCGAAATGACCACCCGTTTTCAGACCAGGATCTTTCAGATAAGCGATGAGGTCATTGAAGGCACTTTGCGTGATCTGGTCTTTGCATGAAGACATTTTGTGTCCAGCACTTCCGGTCTCCTCTGTAGATAATATACACGTTTTGACCTCCCATGACCTCGTCGTGACCTCGTCGTGACCTCCCATGAGTTCCAAATCCTTATTCCCAACGCCCTTAGAAAACATTTGATCACTGCAGGATCCGATGCCTTGTGTATGGTATTGTTGGCTTGGTGTGGGATGTCCCACTGCGTCAGGGCGTGGTTCCAGTGACGCAGACCACCCGTTCCTTATGATCATGTTGTCAGTGTTCATCATGTCCGCCAATACCGACCGTGGTACCTCATTATAGATGACATCCATGACGTCATCAAACAGCGGATCCTTAGCCAGGTCCTGCTTCACAGTATCGTCCATCAGGGTAGCGGGAAGGTTCTGTGACGTCAGACAGGAGGCATCGCGTGGTTGTTGGGGGTCATTTATCGCGGCGATCTGTTGAATAACGGTTATGTTTCATCTGGGAGTTCTTTTCAGGAAGGTTTTGATATTTACAAAATTAATATTTCAAAGTTTCTCGAGAACAATGTGCTCGTTCCGTCGGCCAGATATAATGTTATAAGATAAAATACTATGGCCTTGCAGTGATTCTTCATATGCACTGGGGCCGTCGGGTAGCCTTATGGTTAAAGCGTTCGCTCGTCACGCCTAACACCCGGGTTTGATTCCCCATATGGGTGTAATGTGTAAAGCCAATTCAATTGCTGGTGTCTCCCGCCGTGATATTGCTGGAATATTGCTAAAAAGCGGCTTAAACCATACTCACTCACTCACTCACATTCACAAGTCGTGTAGAAATATGTTGGCTTAAAGCATCTTCTTTTTTTTGCCTCCTTGGAGATATCACATCGATTTCAACGCGTCAGATTTTCAACATAACACGGGTAACGAGTACCAATGGATATAAAACAATACGAAATTACAATTTATATGCGATAACAAGCTGAAATCTTACCGTACGCAAATCTGTTCTGTTGAACTTTCTATTTACCACCAACGGTGGAACAGGTGTTTCCTCACTGTCAAATGTCTTGATCTCAACAGGAATATGTTTGATGAAATTAAATTCCATATCGAAAATATAACAGAAAGATGGAGGGGATGAGTGGATACGTTTCAGTCATATAATGGTATAAGATGGGCTTTGCTTGTATGCGCCCTATAGTGATGTTTACGTATGACGTGTTTCCCGGTTTCGAAGTGATATGAACGGAGGCTATGTTTGTCGTAGGGTATCACATGCATAAATTATTCGTCGACTGTCAACAGCATTCATTCAAACCACGTGATGACCGCCCCCGTGGTCTAGTGGAAGAACGTCCGCCCCGTGAGCGGAAGGTCCGGGGTTCGATTCCCGGCCGAGTCATGAATTTGAAAGTACTGACGACAATGACCAACTGTTATTAAGTAAACAGGACGGGGTATCATCAGTCTGAATATTATTATAAGATATTCAGGGCGGGTTAACATCAGTCTGAATATTGTTATAAGATAGTCAGGGCGGGTTAACATCAGTCTGATATTGTTATAAGATAATCAGGACGGGTTAACATCAGTCTGAATATTGTTTTAAGATAACAAGGACGGGGTAAAATCGGTCTGAATATTGTTATAAGATAATCAGGACGGGTTAACATCGGTCTGAATATTGTTTTAAGATAACAAGGACGGGGTAAAATCGGTCTGAATATTGTTATAAGATAATCAGGACGGGTTAACATCAGTCTGAATATTGTTATATGATAATCAGGACGGGTTAACATCAGTCTGAATATTGTTATAAGAGAGCAAGGACGGGTTAACATCAGTCTGAATATTGTTATAAGATAATCAGGGCGGGTTAACATCAGTCTGAATATTGTTATAAGATAGCCAGGACAGGTTATCATCAGTCTGAATATTGTTATAAGATAGCCAGGACAGGTTATCATCAGTCTGAATATTGTTATAAGATAACCAGGACGGGTTATCATCAGTCTGAATATTGTTATAAGATAGCCAGGACGGGTTAACATCAGTCTGAATATTGTTATAAGATAATCAAGACGGGTTATCATCAGTCTGAATATTGTTATAAGATAATCAGGACGGGTTAACATCAGTCTGAATATTGTTATAAGATAATCAAGACGGGTTATCATCAGTCTGAATATTGTTATAAGAAAGAGGGACGGGTTAACATCAGTCTGAATATTGTTATAAGATAGCCAGGACAGGTTATCATCAGTCTGAATATTGTTATACGGTAGCCAGGACAGGTTATCATCAGTCTGAATATTGTTATAAGGTAGCCAGGACAGGTTATCATCAGTCTGAATATTGTAATAAGATAGTCAGGGCGGGTTAACATCAGTCTGAATATTGTTATAAGATAATCAGGACGGGTTATCATCAGTCTGAATATTGTTATAAGATAGCCAGGACGGGTTAACATCAGTCTGAATATTGTTATAAGATAGCCAGGACAGGTTATCATCAGTCTGAATATTGTTATAAGATAATCAGGACGGGTTAACATCAGTCTGAATATTGTTATAAGATAGCCAGGACAGGTTATCATCAGTCTGAATATTGTTATAAGATAGCCAGGACAGGTTATCATCAGTCTGAATATTGTTATAAGATAACCAGGACGGGTTATCATCAGTCTGAATATTGTTATAAGATAGCCAGGACGGGTTAACATCAGTCTGAATATTGTTATAAGATAATCAAGACGGGTTATCATCAGTCTGAATATTGTTATAAGATAATCAGGACGGGTTAACATCAGTCTGAATATTGTTATAAGATAATCAAGACGGGTTATCATCAGTCTGAATATTGTTATAAGAAAGAGGGACGGGTTAACATCAGTCTGAATATTGTTATAAGATAGCCAGGACAGGTTATCATCAGTCTGAATATTGTTATACGGTAGCCAGGACAGGTTATCATCAGTCTGAATATTGTTATAAGGTAGCCAGGACAGGTTATCATCAGTCTGAATATTGTAATAAGATAGTCAGGGCGGGTTAACATCAGTCTGAATATTGTTATAAGATAATCAGGACGGGTTAACATCAGTCTGAATATTGTTATAAGATAGCCAGGACAGGTTATCATCAGTCTGAATATTGTTATAAGATAATCAGGGCGGGTTAACATCAGTCTGAATATTGTTATAAGATAGCCAGGACAGGTTAACATCAGTCTGAATATTGTTATAAGATAATCAGGGCGGGTTAACATCAGTCTGAATATTGTTGCAAGACAACCAGGACCTGTTAGCATGGTTATAAATACTGTTGTAAGAACAATGGGCGTGTTAACAAGGTTATGAATACTGCTGTTAGAACAATAGTGCGTGTTAACATGGTTATTGCTTTCAGAACAATAGGGCGTGTTAACATGGGTATGAATTCACAGGGACAAATTATGAAATAAATGTTTTCTTGAAAGTTTGATGGCCTTGTGATTCAAGTCGTTGATAGTCTGTTAAATATCTAAATATAACCTGGGAAATGAGATTTTGAGAGTAAAATTTGCAATATTCCAGCTATATGACGGCGGTCTGGAAATAATCGAGTCTGGACCAGACAATCCAGTGATTGACATCATGAGCATCGATCTACGGAATTGGGATACGATGACGTGCATCAACCAAGTCAGCGAGCCTGACCACCCGATCCCATTAGTCGCCTTTTACCCAGGATCTTCACGGGTCTGGGGATGGTCTAAACTTGAATTATACAACAGTGAATACGAGGATACGTGAGGCGTATTGAAATGGGGTTTAACGACCTTTGGACATTGATTCCTACTCTGGCTCCTCATTCCCCCATTCTAGGGTAGGTTTATTTTTTCACCTATTTTAATTTGACCTTGCCGGAGACTGAACCACCGACCTTCCACACTCCGGCAGCGATAGGATACAGCGTACTATTAAAATCACATTAACCTTTCACTCAGTCATTTTGTTGAAGTTGAGTGAGTGAGTGAGTTTGGTTTTACGCCGCCTTTAGCAATATTCCAGCAATATCACGGCGGGGGTCACCAGAAATGGGCTTCACACATTGTACCCATTATATTTAGACAAACAGAACCACGTCATGACTATGGTGCAATGATGTGTTTACAAAAGTGTTAATTTTTTAGGTGCATTATCCGAACGCCTAATGTCTACATGCGACACAAATTCCAGCTTAAAATAGAACACATAGAATCACGAACAATAACTTACGCATATCTATCCCCTGAAGTATGAATGCCGTCGACACTGAACGTAACATTAACCTAGTTAGTATTTAACTCGAAAATATTACTGGAATATTGCTAAAAGCGGCTTAAAACAATACTCGCTCACTATCATTACGCTATAAGTGAGTCAGTGAGAAATGTTGTGTCACGTCAATATTCAAGCTAAATCGCGACAGCCTATAATAATCGTCCCCAGAACAGACAAATCACTGGTTGTTCAACGATCCAAGGTGGGGGCGCGATGACCCACAAAGATCGCGGTCTCAGTCTTACCACCTGACATATATTCAAATCGACTATTATGACAAGCATAGGTACTTGGTACCGGATATTGTGGTACTGATGCTGATAAGTTGTAACCAAGGACCACGTGATTATTTATTATTCATACATGGAAACCCTACCATTCACTCATTTCAATGGGTTGTCATTCATATTTCGATTTTACCCTATTTACGTCTGTGAAGAGCGAGGTAATAGCTGCCTCTGTCCCAGTACTACATATATAGAACGCAGACGTCATACTTACCTAATGCCCAAGTGATCTATATGTACTTGTGCGAGACCACATCATGGAAGCGTAATGTTTGTAAACAAGCGATGATGTAATATTCGTTCAGGATAAAAATGAGAATATGTTGGTGTCCCAGCCTAACCTTTTTAAACGATTTACTATGGACAAATGAAATAACTTTGAAATGGAGAAATCATAGGAATTTGTTGATTCTACCTTAGGGCTCCGTCACATAGTCAGGATTTTTTGACAAAAGTCTGATCAAGATCCTGTGATTCGTGGGAATTCACAAACAATCAGATATTATTCAGGAAGCGTCTCGATTCAGCCGTTTCCAGCCGAATTCGTCCCGATTCTCCCGTTTTCAATTCGAATCTGATCCGATTTGTATCTTCCGCATGGTAAACAACGACCGCATCTGTCCCGACAGCGTCCCGATTCTCCCAATGCGATCCGACAGAGATCAGACAGTGACCGGACAGTGAACCGACAATGACGGTTCGTATTCGGCAAGATCTGGACGCAATCTGGACTCAACCGACAAGAAACGGCAATGAACAATTTATGCCCGTTCATCACGACAGCGTCCCGATCCACAGGACGCCGACCAGACTACACAGGACATTGTTACGATTTTGATCCGATACAGCATAATACTCACGATTGTAATCCGACTAGACAAAATCGGTGTCCCGAATGTTACGGGACGCACCATACTGTCGGGAGTGCTTTGCCGGCCTCTCTGGTCCTTTCCCGATCCGTAGGATTCTGTTACGAACCTATACGACTGCGTCCAGACAGTGATAGGACATTCCAGATCTGAGGATAGTAATCCGACTTTTTCACTTTTTTGTGTCATAGCGCTGTCTGTCTCAAACGGGAGCCATAATCGGCACTGTGTGAGCCTGGCCATAGGAATCAACACATTCAATTGTCCGTAAACTATGTTTTCTTTGAACTATAATTCGCTATAGTGCTGCAGAATGACCTATAGTTGTGTCAGTTTTAGTTATTTGAGTTTCAGAACGACAAATGAATTCCTGTCTCAGAATCTAGCCCAACAACAATAGCGTGACGTCATCCTAATGGTCTGGTTATTGCGATGTAGCAATACATTGATAGTGCATTGATGGTTTTCTTGTTTGTTGGTTAACGCCACACTCAGCAATATTCTGGACCAGACAATCCAGTGATTGACACCCTGAGCATCGATCCACGCTGATACTTGCAGCATGTGATATTTTATATTTTTTCATTTTCATCCACAGTTGGGTATCAAGTCTGATCTCACGAAATAGTTGTAGGTCATTGCGCCCCCGCCCTGAATCGTTGAGCAAACAGTGGCTTGTCTGGGCTCGATGATTTTCAGGCTGTCGTGATTAAGCTTGAATATTGAGTATTTTCTCACTGACACACTAATAATATAATTATATTATTTTGCACTTCGATGTGTTTTGTTTTGAAAAGTGTTTTATGAATTGAAGGAACAAGACAGACATCA